TTTTAATTGGCGGTGCAGTCGGTGGAACCTGCTTGAGCGAACCGCGTCGTTGTTTGCCTCTATGTGTCAATTTGATTTGTCGGGTTATAAAATAGAACTGAAAGTGGGGGCTGGTGTGTAGGAGGGAGACCGAGTGGGGCGAGCAAGGCAGTAAAGAAAAAACGTTGTAGAAATAAATTAGGTACCGAAGGCATGGAGGCCCTTGTTCACGTAATCTTTAACACACGCAAAAAGGTGCAAATTCAGAACAGATTTTAAATTTGGCCAGAGGGTGGTGGGCTGCTGTTTGCAAAATGACTTCGATCCAGATGGGACTCAGGCCTGTGAGAAATGCCAGGAGAGCCCTCTGTCATTCGTGACTCGTGGCAGAATGAGAGCCTGGAAGGGATTTTGTCCAGGTTGCACAAACCAGCAGCCCAGACGTTTGAACCTGTAAGAATTAGGTCAGAGTTTTGCGACGTTAACCAGAACTTTGGGAATAGTGTCCCATTAGACTCTGAAGTCACGCTGTCGTCATCAAAACTGAAAAGCCCAGTGCCATTGATTACATTTGTTAATCTGTAGTTCTGAGACTATCGTTTCCAGGTAATGTCATGGGGAAACTTTGCTTTGGCTCTTGGTTTACCTTGTGTCTGTATTTTCTTTGCAACCGATATTCTTAAACTGTGCCCTCCCTGCACAGAAAGCACTTTGCCTCTAAACTCAAGCTGTGATTTCGGGAACCAGAGACAATCCCCTCCCTCCGCAGATTCCACACCCGCCTGTTTATTCTTGATATTTCCTCCACAGGGAAACAACCTGTTATTCCACATTTTTTGTTAGGTTAAAAATGGAAATAACCGCAATAAAGTTTATACCATGGCCTGTGTGGGAGGTGTAACACCCAGATGCCAGGCAGCTATTTGTGCCACACTATGAATTGTGGGTAAATGGAAGTCTATCTTAAGAACTGGGAATACTTTTCCTAGCAGGAAAGATAACTTTTATAAATGCAACTTAAAATCATAACCGTAAACAACCGTATTCGCAAAAACAGTTAAGCTATCAAAGCGTGATATCTATTTTGCCTAGTTTCTGTTAGTATTTTTTTGCTACTTGGCTTTTGGTTATAATCAAAGTCTCTTGGGTGTGAGAAATAAAAGAATGGGAATAAAAATTTTAAGGTGAAAAATTATCATTAACTTGGAATTTTCATTTTTGATGATGAAATATCTGTGTTCCACAGTTAAGCTTGAGAGGAAAATCTCCAATTGGAATTGCTGGAGTAAGAGAGGAGAAAGACCAGAAAAAGGCTACTGGGTATGAAAGAGAGGAAAGGAGAGTCTGGGGGTGGGATTGAATAGTGTTGGGACTTAAGTAGTAGATGACACTGTTTGGCTTATTTTATGTATTTTTACGGATGGTGTTAATAGATCCTGAAGCCTCTGTTTAGCAGTGCTGAACAGTTAGTGCGGAAAAAAGATAGGAAATGAACATAGTAAGCATTTGAGTTAGTCGCTACTTACCATGGCAGAGAGATCAGACCAGTTCATGACTGAGCCAGGAGTATTCATTCTGTTTTCCTCTGGTCAGACTGTCCCTGAAACCTGGAGGCAATTGAAATACTCTTGGTTCTAATCCAGCTGCTAAAGAGGGACTGCTCTGAGTTAACCAGCTTTGGAATTTCAGGAGTTCAGATGAACGCCAGAACACTTTCAAGCTGCACTTTGACCCTCCTTAGGGTCATTGTAGTAAAGGCCCTCATTTAACATTTCATTGTTCGGTTCATGCTTGAATTTGGTTTTTCATATAATTAAAATTTGATCATATTGTTCATCTTGAGGATTTTTTTCTTTTTAAAATATTTGTTAATGTGATAGGAAGGCAAATATGCTATTCAGCAACTACATCTTGATTGCACAGTGGTTCCTTAGGTCTTTGTTTTGGTAGCTTGTCATGTTTGTATTTTGTTAAAATATTCTGGGTACAGGTTAATTTATTTGCTTTGTGTCTAAGTATTCTATTTGCTTTAAAGTAAGCACTGCTGCGGTTGTCATAGCTAGCTTAGAACATCTTGGATTTCGTTTGTTCTAGTGAGATGATTTTTGGGTAGCTTCCATGATGGAGCACAGTTGGAGTGTGTCTCAAGTGCATTTCTTCATTGTTAATGGAAGAAGAGCATGATTGTCACGTGGCCCCTATATCACAGCCTTTGGCTTATCTGTGCTGATTCTGTACCAACTTGTCCTGGCACAAACTAATTCTGACATTGCTGTTTTGGTTAAGCGGGTGGAATGTGCAGGGTGTCTTTTTGAACGTGTGCCTTAAAGTGGCATGTGTTTTCCTTATGTTATTTGAGTCCTATTCAGAATGACAAAGCATAACTTTGCCTTCTCGTCTTTTGTGCTTAAGAACATCTTACCAAATAGCGTCTTATTAATCAAGCAACAGCTAGAAAATTTGAGAAGTGATTTTGACTGACTGCTATGGTCAGATGTAGAAATCAGATCTTTTAATACTTGCTCTAGTACCCAGTTGTTTTAAATGAAACAATCAACAAAAAAATCTTGGGATTGCTGTTTTTGGTGCTAGCTGGCATTCTGTGATTCCAGGGCAAATCTAATGGAAAAATACAGTAGTCATATTTTTGACTGCTTTGGAACAGTTAAAAAAAAAAGTTACAGGAACAAAGAGAGGAAGGATGTTAAGAAATGAAAGGCTAGGGGAAAGTGTTCCATTAACCTCCTCATAGTTTTTTAAAAGTTACAGTTCATTGCTCCAGAAATTTGAGTAAATAAGTGCCATTAAAGTTGCATAAAGAAAATTGGCCATTTTCTCTTTTCTGTCTTTCAGGGCATTCCGGATACGTTAAACTTCAGTGTGTTATTTACCAGATAAATGATCAACGTAAAGTCCTTTTATCTTAAGGAAACTTTTTTTTTTTTTAGCCATTGTCACTTCGGGATATCTTACTGGTAAACCCTTAAACCCCTTGTTAGATCTTCAGAGCTGCGTAAAATTAGACCTCAATTTTTTGAGGTGGTCTTCATTATTTTACCATTAACTAGTTGCCCCAGAACTGCAGTGAGCTAATTGATGTCCTGCCCTGCCCTGCCCTCCCCTCCGCTCCCCTCCCGCCCCATTCCCAGACAGAGGCTTGCTCTGTCACCCAGGCTGGAGTGCATTGGTGTGATCTCGGCTCACTGCAACCTCCGCCTCCCAGGTTCAAGCGATTCTCCTGCCTCAGACTCCCGAGTAGCTGGGATTACAGGTGCCTGCCACCACACCCGGCTAATTTTTGTATCTTTAATAGAGATGGGGTTTCACCGTGTTGGCCAGGCTGGTCTCCAACTCCTGACCTCGTGATCTGCCTGCCTCGGCCTCCCAAAGGGTTAGGATTACAGGCATGAGACACTGCGCCTGGACTCTTTCTTTTTTTTCTTGAGGTATAATCTTATTCTGTCACTCAGGCTGGAGTGCAGTGGTGTAATCTCGCCTCACTGCAATCTCCGCCTCCCTGGTTCCAGCTATTCTCGTGTCTCAGCCTCCCCAGTAGCTGGGTCTACAGCGGGGGCACCACCACGCCTGTTTAATTTTTGTATTTTTAGTAGAGACAGGGTTTCACCATGTTGGCCAGGCTGGTCTTGAACTCCTGACTTCAGGTAATCCTCACACCTTGGCCTTACAAAGGGCTGAGCCAGGCGCCTGGCCCTATGTCTTTTTTTGGTGGGGGATGGAGTCTTGCTCTGTTGCCTAGGCTGGAGTGCAGTGGCATGATCTCGGTCCACTGTAGCACCCACCTCCTGGTTTCAAGCAGTTCTCCTGCCTCTGCCTCCCAAGTAGCTGGGACTACAGGCGTGCCCCACCACACCCAGCTAATTTTGTGTGTGTGTATTTTTAGAAGAGACAGGGTTTCACCATGTTGGCCAGGCTGATCTCCAACTCCTGATCTCAAGTGATCCGCCTGCCTTGGCCTCCCAAAGTGCTGGGATTACAGGCATAAGCCACTGCGCCTGACTCCTATGTCTTTTATTTCTAGGTGTGTCCCGTATCAGTAGACCCTACCTTTGACAATAACTTGGAATTTGAGGAGGAGGAGGATTATGTGAAGTGAGGCTGTTGTCTTACTGAAATTCCTAATTGTAGCGATGGCTTCATTTAAGTAATTTTGGAGCTTTATACCAAACTCCATGCTGGGGGCAGGACCCCAGGATGAACCATTGTTGCGCTTACTTTGTTTTCATGGTTGTGTGCCTTCAGTTTCTA